TTTTCAAACCAGATGTTTTCCCTGGCAGGTTATGAATAATAGGAATGTAATTAGAACAACTTTGGGAATATACTCTTGGAGTCTTCTACAATTTATCATATGTTTCACGGCTTTTTCTGAGGACAAGGAAGAAGAGGAAGAACAAGATGAAGAAAATGGCGAAAAAGTTAGTTTCCTTCCAATCTTGAACCCAGACACTCTGTCCCTCTTACTGCGCATGCTCGACAAAAAACAAAGGCAGCTAGTCACTCTGATCCCCTCTGACGACCATAATCCAAAGCGGCAAAACAATAGAATGTTTTGGTGTGAATTAGTATGCGATAGGGCAATTTGATTTATTGTGGGTTGGGTGGGTGCCTGAAGATGTATCAGATTAAATGACTGATAGGTTTGGTTGATTGGACGCTTATCGATTTTGGTTGACTGACTGGGTATTTGATGAAAATTGCTTGATGTATTGACCATTACTCAGGGCATTTACATGACACTTAAATCACTTTCAGAAGTCTGGCCAAAACCCACAGCTTCAGGGACAGAATTCAAGAAAATATTTACGAAAATTGATTGAGAGAAAAGAAAAAGAAGAAAAAAAGAAAAGAGAAGATTCCTACAAGTGAGTGCTTACTACAGTTTTTTTTTTTTGTATGTGTTACATCATTTTCAAGGTTGATTTAAAGAAGCGAATCGCACTACATCAAGAAATGCTCACACACTTTTTTAGATAAATATCTAGTTTATAACTTCTGRAAATTTCAGGGTATTTGGATTAAAGTCTTTTGAGATAAACCACTTGGAATGCAACGAGGCTGCTTCTTGAAGACGTTGCCATATTATAACACAAGGGTTTTTTTTCAACTTGCTCGCATTTTTGGAGTAGTAAAAAATGACCGCACAAGTTTTTTTAGATAAAATTACTATTTTGTAAGTCCTGAAAATTTCAAATTTCTAGCGTATTTGCTAAAAAAAAACTTTGAGATAGATCATTAAGTGCCGCATGCGCATTGTATTGTCATTGATTCATTTGTTGAAACTTCACTTATAGATTTAAATGCACTGATTTTGTTTGTTTATGTTTTTAGGGTTAAAGAAGAAGATGGAGTACAACAAAGACAACTTCATGGCGATGTTTATGGTATTCTTGCTGCGATCTTCATGCAAGATGGTCCATACCTCGGCCTACGAATGTATTTGATTGTGCAACATAGCATTCGAGGAGAGCTGCAGTTCTTTTTCGCTGGGAAAAACACTGTTACCATTGCGTTATTACTGTATAGACTGTATGCCATTCAGTGCAAACGTAAAGAGGACGATGAAGTTTATGATAAGCAAATGAGRGCKGCTTCMGAYGCYATTTTACAAGTTAGTTACTTGAAAGAGTGGAGGAATTCAAGCAGCGRAAAGGACATGGATGAAAATGGAAACGCACGACACGAAGAYAAAATCAAGAAACAGATTTCATTTGAAGCGAAGGCTTGAAACATTGCCAAAAAAATATTATAAAAAGATGTTTCTTGAGAAACAAACAATAGCACGCAAATAYGAAACAAACAAACGAAAAAAATACGTTTCTGTTACATTATTGATCGTTTTCAACCATTCCAATAATGAGATTCAAAAGATAAAAGACCGGCGACCATGTTGGAGGAATGAGCAATAGATACTAATGAGAAATCCTTTGTTAAAGTTCATCCAAGATGGCCGCTGTGACGTTCAGTGAAAACGGAGAATAGATGATATGCCAATAAGAAAATTATTATTGTAAATAAAAAGTTCTATTTTTTATACTCCACAATAAATAATTATATGAATAAAACAACACTGATCATGTGTTTTATAGTTCATGATTGCCTCATAATTCAAAATTTTTCAAAAGAGTTTGTTTTCTGTCAGACTGTATTTCAGGTATTTTTTACTGTTGGGAAGGCTGGGCCTAGACAGGGAGCCCGCCACTAAAAACGGCTGCGGTGAGCACGCTATGCCATCCTTGAGAAGGATACATCTTCGGAAGCCTTTCCAACGAACCGACTCCGAACCCGACGACTTGGATCCGATCGTTTCCGAACATTTGAGGAATTCAGTTGCTGGTTTTGCCATATTTTCTCGTTCCTTTTCACTTGCTATCCAATATTTATCGTTTTCTGACATTAACCATTAATAAAAATGAAGTTCTTGCTTAACAATTGAACACTTTTATCATGTAAATCGAGCGACGAAAGCTTATTGCGATAGATGTCCTAATTTAATCTATATATCGTAAGTCTAATTCTCCGTATAAGAAGATAAAGGTGATCTGATATTTTTGGGACGCTGTGGGGTTCCTGTGGTGTTCTTTGATCGCGGGCGCTCAGGCCRAAGTCATGAGGATTCCTCTACTGGAAGCACAGCAGGAACTTCTTTTGTCGCTCGTTCCTCGCCACCAGAAATAATACCCCTACGTACAAAGTCTATTAGACCTTGTTACCCTGGTACAATATCTGTTAGATCATGCTTCGGAAGACTTTGTATATCGGGGATTTTATTTTTGGAAGCGAGGAACGAGCGACAGAAGAGTTCAATATTTGTGGGATAAAATGGAGGAGGAAAAGGGGGAGASTTCGCCGCTCCTGTCTCGAGACATACAGAGGAAAACTGATGCGAAATTGACGTTTTGGTTGGTTTTCTCGACAGYAGTATGTGTTGGTGGCTCTTCTTTTCAATTTGGATACAATACATCGTGTATAAACTCCCCAGAAAAGGTAAAAGCCGTTATTCATAAGCTATTTAGCCACCAAAAAACATGAAATTATATAGTCAATAACTTACTAAACTTGAATTACATTTAAGTTCTTTATTGTAACCTTGATGTCTGAATTAGCAACAAAACGAAACGTTTTSCTTTAAAAAGGAATTGTTTCATTTTCTAAAATATATTTTCTTAACATATATACCATATTGTCATCTACATGGTTAAGTTTTGGTTCTATCATAAAGTATTGTTGATGTAATTGCCTCATAGGTGATAAAAGATTACTATAAGAAATATGGACATGAGTTTACAGACTTTGACTGGGCATTCGCTGTATCTATATTTGCTGTGGGGGGTATGGTTGGGGCTGTACTTGGACCWTTTCTTGCTAATCATCTTGGACGGTAAAGTATTCTTCATTCTCTTTTTCGTCTGTCTCCTTCACTTCATATCCATTTTCGTGTTAGGCTACCTGTCCCTATCTGAAGGAGACTGTTTCGAATGATTCCTTAATTTGTAGAATTATGTGTATTTTTGGAGTCATTCTAATATTTTTTTTATATGCAGGAAAAAGTCGTTATTATGGAACAACTTTATTGCAATTTTTGGTACCTTGTTGATGTTCCTGTCATATGAATTCAAGAATCCTCCACTTTTGATGTCAGGAAGRTTTTTTATTGGTATCAATTCTGGTAAATATACCCTAAGAGCAGAGGAATTTTCCAACCCCCTTCTACGAAGAAAAGGAAAAAATTCCTCTGTCACAAGACGGTTAATTTCATATTGAGCATGCCACGTAAGAAAGAAATAAGCAAAGAAGCTTGCTTCTCTCATGTTTTTTTCAACTCCCACCCTGTGGTTTTTGTCACGAGGACAGAGACACGTACGCCATTTTATATTAAGCGATTTTCTCCGGTCTCACTTTTCAAAGTGGTGRATGCATTGTTCTCATGATGCATGGTACTGTAATATATAAACCTAGTGGGCTGCAAATTTAAATCTAACTTGTTTTGCAGGCATCAATACAGGTGTGGTACCAATGTATCTATCAGAGATAGCACCAATWCCATTGAGAGGTGCTTTAGGTGCTATGCATCAGTTTGGCATTGTAGCTGGTAACCTACTTGGGTTTATACTTGGACTCAGTGAGGTTTGTTTCATTTATAATGCCAATCCCTTTAGTAGTTCACTTGTAAGACATCAAAAACATTTTGTGTAAACTAGGTCCTTGGCAATGAAAAAAACTGGCCGTTGGTGGTTTGTTTTAGCTTTATACCAGCAATCATCCAGTTAGGGACAATACCATGGTGTCCAGGAAGTCCAAGATACTTACTTCTAAGACTGAATGAAGAGGAAGCAGCAGTGAAAGCTCTTCAAGCACTGCGAGGCACAACAGATGTTTCTGACGACATTGCAGAAATGAGAGTGAGTACAAGACTCATATTTCACCTTCCAAAGAATTGCCTTAGCTTGAGTAAGGTTGCATGCTTTCTTTTGTATTGTTAATGTCTGATTTCTAATGGCACACAATTTGTATATTTGAGTATGTTTAGCTAGTAGAATGGATACATAGTTATGTTTTATTTATGATTGTATTTTCCATCACGTAAGGAGGAACAAGCAGCGACTTTAGAWCAAGAAATCTCAATCAAATGGCTGTTCACAAGGAACTATCTTCGTACTCCATTATTGATAGCAGTGGTGTTGCAATGCTCTCAACAGCTTAGTGGAATCAATGCAGTAAGTTTTAGTTATGATGATTAACGCCTGTGCATACCAAGTCCTTTTAGACTGCTTAATTGCTTACAATAATGGAAGTAGTTCTTAGTGAGATAACCATGATCCCAATAACTACAATTATAATTATGTTTTTTTGTTCAAAATGGCATCACAGACCCTGTGTTCTGTGTGCAATTTAATTGACATCATTTTGCATGTTTTTCTGAGAGCTTTTAATACTTGTCCTCTTCTACATTTCAGGTATTTTATTATTCCACCTCCATACTTGRAACCGCTAATATTCCTGGCAGTCAGTATGCTACATTAGGAATAGGTGTGATCAGTATAATAATGACGACACTTGCTGTAAGTAGTGTAATTGATATAAAATGCTTTTAAGCATTAAAATATGTATTGTAACTATGTGAGAATGCCTGTATGTATGTGTGGAGTCTCTTAGGCATGAGCATATATGTATAATTTTAAGAGCTCAGCTACTTGTGGAGGCAGAGAAGAGAAACGAGAGGGCATGATACACAACTTTCAAAAATGGGGGTAGTTCAAGGCCGTCGACATTGGGAGGCTAGTGATGAATCATGGAGAAAGGCCTTTCATCTAGAAATCACTACAACAAAGATTACATGTATGTAGTGTACAAAAGTTTGAAAGATGTATCTTGGTATGTTATTTATAACAAAACACTCTTCAAGACATTGTTCTTCATCCTCCGTGCCCTGGTCGGCGACCATCATATACATCACACCGTTTTTGAAAGTCGTGAATAGTGGTGCAGTAAATTGGATTTTGGGAAAAAAACTGAGAATTGTCTTATCAAAAATGTCTAACTAACATATAATTGGAGTTATAAAGAACAATTTTAAGAAGTTACAGTATTATTAATTAACACTGTATTATTTATTAACAAATGATGTTTGTTTTTCACAGGTCAAGCTGGTTGAGAAGTTTATTTATTTATTAACAAATGATGTTTGTTTATCACAGGTCAAGCTGGTTGAGAAGTTTGGCAGAAGACCTTTGATGCTGTGGGGCCTGGGGGGAATGATTGGGTTTTATTCTCTTATGACCATTTCATTCAGATATCAGGTGAAAAAAGCAAATAATTTAAAGAATCTAAGCCTATGGCACTTACCAACCCATTATAAATCATTTATTTTCATAATTATAATAGTTCATCATTAATAATGTATTCTGATTTCAAATTTCCCGCGATCTTTTCCTATCATTCATTCATTCATCCATCTCATTCATTTCTCATATTTTACTTATCTTTCATAGAACGTTGAAACTATGGGATACTTTGCGATTGTGGCAACACTTCTAGTTGTGTCATTCTTCCAAATGGGGCCTGGTAACTAACTTCAAACAACTTTTATATGATCCAATCAGGGTTTACTGTGTCCATTCTACATTAACGGGGGTGGGGTGGGGGAGTGTACAGTTTTCATTATGTTTATCTTATTTTACAGGTCCAATACCATGGTTTATCACTGCTGAGATGTTTACCCAAGGTCCAAGACCAAAAGCATGTGCAGTTGCAGCCACAGTAAACTGGTTTACAAACTTTCTTGTAGGAGTTAGTTTCCCATCCATGCAGGTATTGCAAAAAAAAAGCTGTCTGTCCATCTGTACCTGCATCCATTTTGTCTGTCTGTCTTTCAGTCAGGATTTTCTGTCTGTCCATCTGTCACTCCATCCATTTCATCTGTTTGTCTGTCATATACACCTACTTGCAGAAACGTTGTCATAGAAAATAGAACATTTGAATTTAGTAAAAAGGAATAAATAAAAACAAGACAAAAGAGAGCGTTCAGCCTCAGTGACCTTCTTTTGTCTTTTTTAATCTATTCCTTTTTACTAAATACAAATGTCCTATTTTCTATGACAACGTTTTCACAAGTAGGTGTAGATCTATTCAGTTATCCATCCATTCCATTTTTTTTATCCCATTTGGTTATTCATTCATTTTCTTTTTTTCTCCAGAGTGCACTTTATCCATACACGTTTATTGTTTTTATTKTKCTGAATCTTGGMTCTTGGATTTTTGTGTACTTTCTTGTGCCTGAGACCAAGGGACTATCAGTGGAAGAAATATCCAGCCAATTTAAACATGGAAGAGATGTCTACACTTATASTTCTGTTGGGGACGATGATTAAATATGAAAACTACTTAATATTAACTTCATTGGATTCTTTTAGGGGATAATTTTAAGTTTTTGATTTTTGTATAAAATGAAGGGTATTTATTGAAATACTTTCAAATTGTTTGTGTGTCAATAAAAGTATGACATTGATTGACATTTTTTTCATTTAATATTAAGTAATAGTCCAAGTAAGAACTAGGAAACAAACGGCAAAGGAATGCCAGGTGCTAATTGTGTATTGTATAATCCATCCATCCATTGTTTAAAACATGAAAATAGACCTGCTATAATTTCACAAGTAAGCGCATTTTCTAATATTTTATCTAATTATATCTGATTTCGACTTCTTGAGAGCTTTCTTTAGCTTCAATATTACGGCAATTCTATGTGGGGGACATAGCAAATTAGAAGCATCTTTTGACTATTGTTTTGAGCCCTTATGATTGGATAAGAGCTTTTAATACAAAAGAAACTTTGTTTCAAAATAGAGTTAATCCACATTTTATTTCAAAAATGTGGATAATCAGTGTGAAAACCAAAACATTCGTATGTGGGGAAGTTGCAATGCTTCAGAACAATAGAAAGCTCCCTAGTTCTTAAGCACATTGTTACTTAAGTAATAAACCATTTGTCACGATCATGTTGTCACACATTTATAATAAATATATATGTCGATAATAAATGTGTCATAACATATGACCATGATCATGACACCATGAAAGTAAAAGAGCAAATTGAAAAATTTCAACTTATAAAATCATCCTATAATATATAGATATATTATTTTGTGCTCCTCTGACACCAAAATAGAAAGAAAATATTCAAATTCTTGGTGTCACTTTGACAAGAGTATTGACAATTTTCCATGCTCCCTCTAAAAGGTTTGTCCTTCCRCCAAATATAAAAAACTCCTCRCGGCCTTTAACAACAGAGTGTAAGGAAGTAGCAGTGATTTTTTTGAAAGCGTCATTTCTTGGCTGCCAGGTACAACTGCCTTGTGTCAAGACCTGACTACAATCTAGTGTATAMGTCTGTAGAGTTAAGACTTCATTTGTGTTAGAGTCATTGTTTGAAGGTTCGCTTGAGGAGCTGAATATTACGATTTTGTCATGGACTTTCACAGCAGGGTGACACCAGATTTGAGGTGCTTCTAGTTCATGCTTGTACACTTGAACCTCGGTCCAGGTCATTGTTTTTAAATGTAGAAGCCATACATCATTGAAGAGCTTTAAAAGTAAAAAATGGAGTGATTGCTTTATACATTATTTAAGTTAAGGGTGGACTGTTCATTTTTCTTATCGGGAGGTGTGGGGGGTCAGCTAGTGGTTTTTGAGAAGGGGCCACCAAAACAAAAACCATGTTGTATGTTTTTAGGATCTTTTACCTGATTTCCCCATCCTCCAATTATGATCAATGTCTGTGGATCCATCACCATCTGCAAAGCAGAGAACAAGATTAATAATTATACACATTTGTTGTGGTTTGAAGTTAAGCTTTATTTAACTAAACCGAGTATACATGAATGAAAAGATGGCTGACTGAAAAACAACGCACGAGGCACGGGCTGACATGCGCAATCATGACATAYATATATGACCGGAAATAACACATCGGAAGTAAAACTATAACAACATTTCAATAGCTTCTCACTCAGCACCTTACAAAAGAGCATACTTTTGCCTTGAAACAAGCCAAAGACATTATTGCAAGCTGAACTACTGTTTAGCTTCAATGCACCCCTACTAGTAGRGGGGATCCTTTGCTCGCAGAATAGGATACATTTCAAGATGGCAATGGTTAAGTTATTTAAGTGCATCTGGTTGTACAGACTATGAATTATAGCGCTATCCACCAAATAAGTCCTTCTCCAAGGGATAAAATATATACAAAATCTAATGAGTAGATAACTTTAATGAGTGGATAACTATCCACCCTTTGATTAACTGGCCCCAGGGACATAATTGCGAGCTGATGCCATGTAATGTAGCAGTTAAGCAGACATTGTAACTCATATAAAATCTAATCTACCAAAAAACTATTGAGTACAGTCAACTCTCGCTTTACGGACACCTTGCTATTTAATACGAACACCTGAATATTACTGAAAGTAAATTCCGTTAGTATGGACTCTCGCTATTGCGGACACCAATATACAGTCCTGAGGGTGTCCGTAATAGCGAGGGTTGCCTATAGTTATCTATGCAATTGTAATATTATCTAATTAATGTTTATCAATAACCTGTGAATGCCCAAACCTTGCACTAGGTCTTTTGCCAGTGATACGAGGCATCGTCCAATGCATAAGGTTCAGATCTAACATCCATACATCATTGTAACTATAGAAACAAAGTCATAGAAAGGAAGTTTGTTTGTTTTTTCTTGTGGGGGAGGGGAGGGGGTTATATTTCATTTTCTTGTGGGGGAGGGGAGGGGGTTATATTTCATCATCTTTTAATTATTCATGATATTCCAAACTCTAGTTCAGTGGCCACAGACAAGTGACCTTGACCACCAGTAAAGATCTGTGCTCGGTGTATCTTGATGCCTTGATTTGTTTGTTAATGATTTGTTTGTGGTCACTAAAACTGAGTATAGAAAGTTGCGAATTATGCAGCTATCCCTTGCTGGGGCCACAGGGAACCAAGAGCAGGTTTGTGGAAAGCAATGCCTATTTTTTCTTTCGTTAGAGCAGGGGCATGCGCAGTCCTTGCCAGAAAAGTCTTTGAAACAGTGAGAATGAATTTGCCAAATCAACCAAGGAAAAGAAAACAAAAACATTTGGCTCCTTTTAACCTAAAGGCATCCCTATCTCATGAAAACAGGGACTAAGTGTAGCATCTATATCATTTTTTTTACTTTACTCCAATTTTCTCATTCTCACTAGCTATCTACCCAGAATTCCCTCAGCCCAACAATGWTGTTATTAGTATGTTATACGCCTGCTTGGCAAGGTATTGTCAATATTTATAAAGATAAACTGACCGTGTCAATCTTTGTGCTCCACCGAATACAATCATTTGATCCTGTAAAACACAAGCAGCATGACCAGCCCTTTCACAAGGCTGCAGTAAGTCAGGATTGTTGTTATTTAAGGGTGTTATACTCCATGTTAAAGAAGGGACGTCTAGGACATTGACACCGTTGTGAAATCTAGCGTTTGAAACAATCCCTGTACGCGGAGAAAGACACCAACCACCAAAGATAATAATTCTATTTTTATGAGCAACCATGCTAGCGCATTCCTTAGGAGGAGGCGATATTCCTGACAAGCGAAGTCTACTCCACTTGTAATCCTTCAAATCTAATTCATGAATATCATTGAAAGCTGTATTAGAAGGCGAACATCCACCAAACACATACATAGATTTACCAAGTACGCAACTRCTATGTGAATATCGCGGTGATATCCTGAATCGTTGAGGAATAGTTTGAAAATAAAGAGATCCATTGCAAACACTTTCGTAAAAAATCCGCTTGCGACGAGTGATTATCCTTAAGACTAGAGCATGCCAAGCTTTGCAAACTAGTTTAGCCTGTTGTARTTCTCCATAAGAAGATAAATATGATAGAATTTCTTCGGTAATTTCGTTTGGGATGTCAAATAGTTCACATTCATCTTGCGCATTTGTTGCTTCTTGCTCGTCCGCCATTTTGTTATATTTGGGAGTGTTGTGGGGTTCCTGTGGTGGTCTTTGAGCGGATCGWCAAATCATGGAAGAAGATCACGATGAGAGGTCTCCTCTAAGGTCAAAAGAGGTAACCCCGAAAACTAGTGCAAGATGGACTTTTTGGTTGGTTTATTCGACAGTAATTTGTATTGGAGGCTCTTCTTTTCAATTTGTATACAATACATCATGTATAAATTCGCCAGAAAAGGTAAATTTCGTGTAAACTTGAATCGCTGGCTGTCCATTTTACCGGGTTTCGAACTAAAATAGCTTGTGGCGTAATCTTAATAAGTTAGTATGCAGTATGAGAATTCTACATCAAATCGAARGATAATGGTTGAAGTTATCAAAACAAGATGGTGTTAGTATATAAGTTTATATGTTTGTATTTGGAGACTTGACATCGCATATGTTTATATTGTTGACTACAGTTCGATTTTTTTTTTCTTTTGCTGATCGATTATTTTCTCTCTCTGTACAGCTTTTGTGCAATAATTGTGTCATATGATATGCTTTCAATTTTGGAAATGATTCCATTGAATTATTATTCTTGCATTTCTACCTAGCAATTATTTTGTACGTCCAAGGATATTTCGGACATGTTGAACAGCTGTTTATATTATTATTGCCATTTCCCTTCCGTCACAAGATCCAGAACGATCAAGTTTTGATGAAACGAAACCTATTTCTCTTTACATTTGAAAATCTCTTCGTAAATTCTAGTTTTTGTTGAATCTTTTGCCTGATAAATATATAKATTTGGACAATTTTGGACRATGAATAGAATTCGCCTKGTRATTARTCTTGCATRTCTGYCACCACCTGAGAAAAGAAGTTACTATAGAAATCACTAGAGTGCMACACTATATCCATGAAATAAAGCCTAAATAGTTACTTACTAACAAATATAGTTGACACAGTTAAAATTGATACTTGCATAGCATACAGTGATGCAATGTCCTTATTAAGCAACATTAGATTTTATGTTAAATTACAAATTAAGTAATTTTATTGTATCTTAATCATTTTAGGTAATAAAAGAGTTCTATAGAAAACATGGACGGTTTACTGACTTTGAATGGGCAGTCGCTGTGTCCATTTACGCTGTGGGGGGTATGCTTGGGGCTATAGTTGGACCATTCCTAGCTAATCGATATGGAAGGTAAAGTATTGATCCTCGACCTAACTTTTATGCTGAGTGCACGCAGTCTTGTTGAGTCATTTTTTATGTAGGAAAAGGTCGTTGCTTGGCAACAACATTGTTGCATTTCTTGGTGTATTGTTTATGTTCCTGTCGTATGAAACAAAGATTGCTGCACTTTTGATGGTGGGAAGATTTGTTATTGGGATTAATGCCGGTGAGTAGTAAAGAAATGAATTGAATTAAATAATGACTAGGTAATGATGAATAAAATTTGAATGATTAAAGCTATCTATGTTTTAGTCCCCTCACAGCAGCCATGTTTAGTTTCAGTCACGCGTCACACAACCTCTCCACAATAAGAGAGGTTGTRTGAGGTGTGACTGAAACTAAACCCAGCTGCGAGGAGACTATATCTATGTGTAACTGGGTGGAAATATGAAGTAGCTGTTTAGGCTCATTCTGATATAAGTTATTGGAGAAATAACACTCAGAGAAATAACTAAAATAAAACAAACACAGCCGAATCTTGGAGCAGAACTGGTTTATTTGTGTTATCTCCTTGCATCACAAACGTGACTGCCCATGTAATTTGACAAATATGGATTACAATGTAACACAATCTTGACCTTGTTACACATCTTGACCTCGTGTCACATGACGAAATAAATCATGAATGGATTCAATTGTACGATCATCTTATACAGCCTTTCGCAAAAATTATGNGGGTTCCTGTTAATAGAGCTTATTGGAGACAGGTATGTTAGATATGGTTTCATTCATTTATTCATTTAACCATCCATTTATTCAGTTCTCATTTTGTAAATACCCGTATCATAGCCCCAGGGACCAGGAACATCAATAAAAGATAAAATGCGACACCCTGCTGTACATATTAGCTATACAGATGCCCAAGAATACTGCAAATGGGCAGGAAAACGGCTCCCATCGGAAAAAGAATGGGAGTTTGCAGCCAGAGGAGATCTAAAAGGTACGCTTAAAATCCTACACCGTTTTGTATCACGCATCAATGCAGGAAACATAAAACAGTGTGTGTGTCTCTGTCCTCTGATATAAACACAGTGGGAGTTGAAAAACATGAGAGATCGAAGCAAGCTTACAAATGACGAGCGTAGTGTTTTACAGCTCCCACCGTGTTTATATCAGAGGATAGAGACACAAGCGGCCATTTTATAGTTCTTTTATAAAAAATTTCTGTGCTTTTTGAGCTAAAAACAAATTTGTTAGTAAGATATAAGCCGTGTCTCTGTCCTCTGATATAAACATGGTCGTCAGCCAATCAGAGTTTGCGTTATATATCAAAATTTTATAATACAGAATATATACCGGTGTTTATAAACATGACTTATTGAAATATTTTGTTTTTGTATCTTGAAGAAAAAGTCTATCCRTGGGGCAACAAATTTGAACAAGGGCGAATAAACATATGGCAGGTAAGTTTCATTGTGCCTTGATTGGTATCCTTACATGACTTGAAGTTTACGACTCTTTCCTGACACTTTTCTGGGATTTCAAGCATAAGCCTAAATCCTTAGGACAAGTTGTATCTACAACCATATCTACAGTGTAGTTGTAAGGCCATTTCTTGTTCAACAAGTTGCAAACGACGATTCACATTGTCTGAATGATCTCTAGGAATTCTATTAAATTATTATTTTTAAGGGTAAATTTCCTCATGAAAATTCTAAAGAAGATGGATTTCATTGGATAGCGCCAGTAGATGCATTTCAAGCCCAGAATGACTATGGTATGTTCATGATCAGTTTTGATCATATTTATACAGCTGTTTATTGGGGTTCCTGTGGTATAATAATTTGCAAGGAGACTGGTAACACAGGGAGACCATATGTATGAGACAACTTAACTCCTTTGGGGGTAGCAGATAGGGATCTTTTGTTGATTGATCAAAACCCCAGTGGGTAGTACACAGTAAATTTCACATATTGTTTGTTAGGTATGTATGATATGGTTGGAAATGCATGGGAATGGGTATCAGATGAGTTCAAATCCCCAGGGGGTGGTAAAGAGAAGAAATTTGTACTTCGTGGTGGATCTTACTTGGATACTGTTGATGGGACTAGTAACCACATTGCTAGAGTTACTACAAGGTAAGCTAGAGGAAACAGTGACAGACAGACAGACAATCATATATTATGTATAATTATATATTATGCCCTTGGTCTTTTATGTACGGACCTCGTGCACCTCCGGCATTGTTTTCCTATACAGACTGACCTATAGCCGGTAAATAACATAAATATGTATTAATTTATTCATCCATCCTTTCATTCATCAGTCTATTCTTTCATGACATTTTTGTTTATTCCAACTATCAATAAACTAATATTGAAATATTTTTATCTATTTTTTGACAGAATGGGTAATACTGCTGATGCAGGCTCAGACAACATCACATTTAGATGTGCGAAAAGCCTATCYAAAGATGAGTTATAGCAAATATACCTAAAATGAATTTTATTAGTTAGAATAATTTTTAAACAATATTTGRTTATTTCTATACTATTTCTACTACATTGCAATTAAAAAAGCACCAACATAAAGTATACCAAACACTAGATTAAGCATTGCTGTCTTCTGTGGAATGTTATCTAAGTTTCCATGGTGATGCTTATGGTTGTCATGGTAACTCTTGTCACTATGGCCACTATGGTTATCGTCATGGCTGCTTGCATTGCTACCATTATCACAATTGCTGCTGTCCTGGTCACATCTACTGTCATCATAGTTACYTGTGTTGTAACCATGCCAACATTCATTGCTTAGTTTTGTTGCTAATGGCAACGAAAGTATAGGCAGGAGTAGCCAATAAGATTGCAGCAAAGCTAGTATCGCCACTATTACATATGGTATGAACAAAAGACCTGAATACAGYGTGCTGGCTTTGGATTGGCCAAGTAGGATTGCCATGGTAACGATACCAGCCTTCTTGTCCGTTTCGAAATCCCGGATGTTGTTGCTATAGAAACAAAATTATACCAAACGATGACCTTGTTTCTTCGTAAGTAAGTTTATTTTAAAATACATTTATTTAATTTGAAACCATTCAATATCGTGAAAGCTACAATTCTCTTTTGTATGCTCCAGTAAATGCTTACCCTGCGAGAAGAGTGTATTTCCTTACCTCAATAAAAATTCGCGAATTTTTATTGAGGTAAGGAAATACACTCTTCTCGCAGGGTAGTAAATGCTGAACTATTAAATTAGTCCTCGACAACCTCATTTAATTTCCGCATTGATAAAGTGATTTTTCAAGTGTCTTGGAAATAAGGCTCAAAATAGTTGACAATTTGCGTTTATCTGAGATTATACCCAATGCTTGGACTGTGATTGTAACATTCAGACAAGATTGAAATGATAATTCAGCGTGAATTGGTGAATTGTATCAAACAAACTCAAAAAATGTATATAAAACTCCTGAAATTGACTAAAAACCGCCGCTTTTAGTTTTCTCAAAGTTGATGAGAAGAGAATCGCTACGTAAATTCAACTTACCAATGAAGAATGGCCTCAGTGAGCGAGGCCAAAGGAACCGCACAGAATACACAAAGGCTCGAAAACATCCCAGTTTGAACAGTGTAGGTAAATGAGGTTATAACAGGACCGAATGCCACGAAGATCAAAACATCTCCCATAGCAATGTATTTAAGTCCCACRCTCCCAGTATAAACGAAGGAGGAGAGAATTCCAGCCATAAATAAGGGAAGACAGAGTTTTAYGCTGACATGTGGAAASCCGAGGCAAATAACGAGAAAWGAAGCGATAGCCATTTCGTAACAAATGTGAATGAGACTTCTGACTTCTCTTGGTTGRAGGATTTTCTTCACGAGAGTCTTATCATCCGATAATTTGGTATCAATGCCATTTTTGAAGTCGTACAGAGTGTTGACGAGATTACCAGCCGCATGTGTTGAGAGAATGSTCGTTAAAGTCAAAAAGAACAGTCGRAAATCAAACCGGTTTTGAAKYTTCCATGCGAGAACATTACCAAGCAGAATCGAGACAACAGAAGCGGTGAAAGACCAYGGTCGCATCGAAAGCAAATAATTTTTCAATTTGATTTTGAATGTCGAGGTTTCGTTTTCTGTTGTTGCCGTCATTTTGAGACGTAATTATTGTAGGTTTAGAGCAGACTATTCGTTGAATTTTATATGATGTTTTTATACACTCTTTTGATTCGTAGTACACCCTATAACGATAAGGCACGTGGCAAAAGATGGTTTGTTTGGTATTTTCTTTCTCCGGCGGAAGTGTGTGTGGGATTTTTAAACTCTCTTTTGTTCTAACTTTTCAAAAAGACAGGTGTTTTGTCATCGTTGGTTCAAAACAGTAACTATTGATTGTTCGCATTTCGCTGGCTCGTTTAGTGTCAATGTCAGTTTATATCACCTCTTCAATATATTTGTCAAAGCCGTGAAAACGGTGTTTAAACGCTTTAAAAAGGATAAAAAACTTTTCACATGTAACTAGATCTTTTTTGGTGCATATGTTATTCTTGTCGCCATTATTTCATTAAAAGGAAGTACAGATCCAACTCACGCTAGTTTAACATTAATTATTACACAGTTATTGAGCCATTATTTCATTTTGAACCCACTTTATTCTCTGTGATTGGCCGAATAGTGTGGAAATTGCTTCGAAAAGTAGACAACATGCAGATTCTTTTAAAGTAATCGCTGAAGATGAGTGAGAAAAGTGATTATCAAATCCGYTTTCCCAAGTTGACCGTGATATATTTAGTAAGAAAATGGCAAGTTTTGGAAAATGAGAAATATTGTATTTCTTCTTGTATTTCTATGTTTTTTGCATAAGATATTGTAACATTGCGATCCATGTATGTATTGARGATCAAAACAACTGCACTCAAAAATCACCCATAATACCAATCGCGACGTGCCATCTTTCTCTTGYAGTCAGTTATGTTACAGCCGTAGTTGCAATAAGCCATCTCCAAAAAACCCAGTTGGTCGCAGATTGTTGCCGTTGTGCTTCTTTTAGCCGCTAAAAAAATCTAAAATTTGGTCTCCCGTACGTGGTTTCGCTTCAAAGAGAAAGGACGGTGCATAAAACGGCTACCGAGGACTCTCAATGAAGTTTCGGGGGATGTTTAATACAGACAAATATTCTAAACGCGGAGAAAATTAGGTTCTAGTAAGTTTTTCGCGTCAAATTCCATCACGTTGAGTGACTGACACTTCATAATGTTGTCAGTCTCTGCACTATCCAATCAAATTGAAGTTGGCGATTTTTTTTTTCGGGGAATCACCGACTATAATGAATTTAAGCTAAGACGGCTTTTCCGAGAATTCATAACGTCGAAGCACCCGAAGAGAAAGCAGACACTTTGCAATAATGGATAAAGCCGGCCAAAAACAGATAAAACCAAGTATTTCAATGAAAGGTSAGCATTCTGCCGATGGCAAACAACTTAACATTTACAGTGCATATGAAAGTTTATTTTTAACAAACAATGCACCGAGTTTCAGACTTTTTTTATACTTGACGCCTGCTAAGCTGTATCAGTGTATGCCGATCACTCGCGTTTTTTACATTGAGAATCCAGTTCAATTCAAGCGTTAAGAGAACGTAGAAAAGCAGTTTTTATCCGGCTAAAGCGTTTTTGTTATTGATTGAGTATTAACGATGAAATATGCGCGCTGGACAACTTCTTTGGTAGCATAACAAACACTAAAACAGTAGACCGTTACCTTGACTGATGATATCCTGATCTTTTAATCCAAAAAAGTTTCAAAATGCATTAAGTAATATAATATTTAACATTCCACAACGCATTGTATGATAATTTGTTGGAGTTTTCCCCCTTTTTGTGGGATTTTTCCCCTTGAAACAAGACTAAATGACGTAAGAGAGTATTTTGTATGATATCGCGCTAGGTCAAGTTTAGCCAATCGTAAGGCAGCACGTTTCAGACATTCAGCGATAATATGCTGATAGAGCAAGTTTGCAGAGATCAARGACATCATGAGTTTTGGAATAGGTCATTAAAACGCTTTTTTGTGCCTCTAGAGRGGTAAAGAGCTTTTTTGTGCGGTTGCTGACATAGCAACATTGAACATGTTCGGATTTTAAATAAAAAGAGCTATTTTCAGCAACCTTTTTTAACCATTTTTATTTCCATTCTATTATTACTAGGCAACTYTTCCCATTTTCGTTTTCTTTTTTCCATCTAATCCTTGTAACTTTTGATTGTTCAATCAGAAACGAAAGAAGAAGTGGTTGTGCTTAAACAACGTTGCTTGGACGGGGATATACGTCACAAGATCATCGGCACTGTTTTACTGATTATTTTRTTGTCACTTGTGGCTTTGTTTATTTTAATGATATTGCATCCATTCGCAAGAAACGACAATTTAGGATTTCAAGGTTTGTATATTTTTAACATGTTTAAGTATGTATCTTGACCCACAAACTTTTCACATGTCACTTTGTGCATACATTCTCTGCATTATCTTGTTAACCTTTCCAATGGAACATAATCAAATTGTATTTTTGTTTATCACTTGAAGGCCTGAACATCTGTGTGAAAAAACACAAGATCAACTGCAGTATTAATGCCCATTGTGCAAGACAACCTACAGCTGGCA